GACCTAATCGATAATCCTTGAAAGACAATCTTATCTCGATGGCTATGAACATGGAATGAATTCGAAAATTCCCAAACATTTTTTCCAGCGTTCGAGTAAAGCATGATTCTAGCAATTGTAGATGATATGCACTCATGGTGTCCGCACAAAGAGTAGGCATTACGCCTTCTTGTTGTCCATCCTAGTACAACGCTGAGAATCTACATACTCCAGGAAAACATACTTGTACGGATAGTAGACGTTACTGGTAAAGTGTTTATCTACCTTAACTTTACAGATACTCAGACGACAGTTATAGAAACCCAGTTATATGAACATACTTCGTGATAGTGGTGCAATATGTGACAAGCGTACAGTGAATACTAAAGCTGTAGAGATAATCGGCTACATCCATAATGCCCAAGTTAACATTATTTTGATGACCAGTCACTCGAAGGCTTTCATGCAGTGTACTCCATGGGTTCTGTTTATCTCCAGAATCCGGTCTTGAAATCCAGCCCGTTAGTCCTTGGGGTTATTTTGAAGTGAAACGGGAACCGCCTTCACTTATTCGGGCAACTTGAACAAATTAAGTTCTCTAAAGTGGCCCTTGTATATAGTTCTCTGTCGAAAAAATCACTATTTAGTATACTGAAAGTAATTTTTCAAGCAAAAATGCACAGTACTTCCTTCACTAATTTGAGGAATCGAACACCTGTGTGTCACTTTGCATAACAAGATCAGGCCTAAATGAAGTGACTCGAATTATGGAGGTGTTAGAGTCCGAATCTCAAACAGTTTGAAAACGAGGTTCGATCTTAAAATAAACAAAATTTATCAAAATACGAAAAAGTGTAGAAACGTGCGAATGATATCACGATATGTAACAAAATGTACATATGCGAATTTCAGAAGGCAACACAAAGACCATGTAGCCGCAAGCACGTCGAACAGACTCGAGCAGAGATAGTTATGCAAGAGGGAGAATACAGAAACGAATTCAGAGTCCAATGAATCAACAGGACTCAAGTATATATTTTTTGAAAGTGAATGATTCATCGTGCAATGTAAGTAAATAATATATGTGTGTAGGATGTCACATGTGATCGAGCATACATGGTCATAAAGACGTGATAATACTAATGCCTAGATATGCAGATTGTTGGTGTTTGACAACTCTTGAAAACGCTCTCTTCCATAAATATTTCATGTAAGAGGATCTCAAACACAGTCAAACCAGGAGTCAGGAATAAAGGAGTTCAAAGTTACACTTGGAAGATAGTAGGTATGCAGAGAAGTGTGTGATATAAGCGGGCTAGTTGTTGCTGTGGACACGTATGACCGAGTACCTTCAGATAGAATTCTTCCAGTGGAACCAACGAGGACAACTTTAATTCGAAGGCTCATTGCATCACTTGTTTTTGGGGATTTATTTTTCCGATACACACGTTGACACACTATTTGGACAGTTTGATATCATTCCAAAACAGTGTGGAAGTGAAACTTCAATTTAATACGATTGTTTGTTATTCTGTAGCAAGTTCTTCAAAACAATTACTGTAAATTCTAGTGCCTGTGTTAACATGAATGCAATCCTATCACTAAGTCGTATTCTGGCATCATTTCAATAATTATTTTATTTAAATCTGGTTGTATCCATTCATTACACTACAGTTAGATATATAAGCCGTCAAATCATTATATTGCAGGAAGTAAATCAGGATCGTGTGGAAGAGATACAATTATGTGAAGACTACCAGATACTAAGCTAACATAGATTTACTACCTCTTGTACAAAGTTCTAATGTTTAGGCTGCCAGTATTCTTGCAAATATAGCTAATAGCAGGGTCAAGTACCATTATAAAGAGGTTACGAGAGGGTATTGAAATGTACGATTTTTTAATTAAAATATCTTGATCTCGGGTGAAAGTATTGTATCAGATCTCATGTGATAGTCTTCGAAAACCAATAAAGGCGTGTCTAACTTACGTGATGATGCCGGACTAAAATAAAATAGGCACCAGTAATTACAGATTACACAGTATATATATGTGTTGGTTGTCTAAGTTTTCAAAGTGCGACCTGTGCAGAGAACCAAATAACACAAGCCATGTATGATGCGATCCAGGCTTTCCTAAGCAACGCAAGAAATAAAGTAAGTAAGTGTGGATGATGATCCAAAGAAAGTGTGCTAAATGCACTTTCTATGTGCAATTGAATGCCGGTTCCTATTTTTATATTAGTTTCTGTTAAACGTTTATACTGAAATAATTATTTCCTCTCTATCTTATTTTCAGCTGGCTTCGCAACTGTTCACAGACCTAATGGAACTTTTTAATCCAGCAAACATTGTTATAGAGTTGGCACGCTTAGTTTGGATAATGGCTTTGACATCGGGTATTCGTTTGTCTACTATGAGCTGTTTGGCTATTCTGATACTGCATTTGTAATACAGACTTTTTTCGTAGAACTCTGAATGAAAGTTCAACACCAATCTGATGTACTGAACCAAAACGCACGAGCAATTTTTAAGAATGGGAAGTTATTTATTAATGGATCATTTGTGCTGGTTTTAAACATTTATAAACGTTTTCATTTATAACGCATCAATCACTTGATTACGACAATGCTTATCTATCGTGACAGACCGGAATTCCACCTACTAATATAGTACACCCTGTTCAAGTTTGCAGTATTTGGTAAACGGTCTTTATGACTAATCGCATGTGCAGCAACCTGGTAATTGTTACACAAGAACGCGAAACAACATCCCTATGTCTCACAACCACTTAAGACTAGACAGTACACTCTCCCTGCCGTAACACTATAAGAACAAGTTAGTGGCCATATAAATGAATTTATGTAAAACTAAAAACATTACAATGTTAGAACTTCTTGTTATCAAGAGACATAGCTATGTTCAGTGAGAACGATGGATTCATCATTAGCACCGATTGAACTAATCACTTGTGCGCATATATCTTCCGATGCTTCGAAACATGAATGTGTGAGTTTACTTACCAAAGGTCCACTGAGAGCATGGATTGAGTGGTAGTTGTTAGTGAACTTATCTAGCAGATCATCACTCCATATAGAGTTGACATGATGTCCAGCGCATGAAGAATCATGTTTATTATGTATTTCCTTGTCCACTGTCTGCTATGCCAAAATAAGTCTACAATGCATATAAGGACAAAGAAACACACATTTACCTTCACGAATTAGATCTTTAGAATATACATACAAAATATGACTACAGGGCAGCATGTAGTCATTGCAACTACCACAAGCACATCATGCACATGAAGTATCAACAACATACATCATACTCATGTCGTAGCACCAGATTCATTCTCTTGCTATAAATTTGTGTCTCGTCCTAACACGTTTATAATTTATAGCTACAAATTTAGCTGCAAAAGATGAGAACTCATTTAAAAGAGTTCGAAAGGACATTGGAACTTGGAATGAATGATACATTTAACTATATTCCTTACATTCTTTTAGGTGTTTGTGAGCACTTTCGACACGGTTGTTTGTGTGGTTGTTCAGGCTTAATACATGCGGCCTGTAACAGCGAACCCACCTTGACTTCCGGGCCATCCAGTAATCTCTTATATAACCATACGCCCGTGGAAAATGGGTTCCTAGGTGTTCGTACTTCTGAGAAAATCTGAATATAATGAGTTATTAAAAGTGAATCTTACATGTCAAACCGTCTAGTCTCAACAAGGTGTTCCAAGCATTTGCGTACATCAGGATTTCGGAACTACAGAAAACAATTTTTACAAATAAAACTTACCCCCCTGAAAAATGTTCGCAAGACATGAGATGAACAAAGTACTATGTTGAAATGACTGTGCGTAGACTGAATCGCTGAAATTTGAGTTGCTGCTGAATCCATAACGAAAGTGCGTGTATCACAAGTACTGCACATTATCTTTACAGAATTTGAATAGTCTTACGACATCTTCACGTCGTTCTTGCCAGCAAAGAGAATACGAAATAGTGTGCTCTTGCCCAAAACTATCAATAGCCACTGGCTGAAACAGTGGAAAACTTTAAGGCAAATTTATTACTAATCGTTACTTACCCAACTTTCTTAATTTGATGAGTCGAACCCATACATACTACCTCCGGGAATGCGTGGTAAATAGCTATTTGCTCCCTGCGACTGAAGTAAATCATAGATATATTCCCATGTTCATTGAATACTTTAACATCAGTGTTCGTTTGATGAGCTGTTTATGGAACTTCCAAGAAACCAGGTGCCGTAAGCTACGAGTTGGCGTATTACTCAATAGGAACGTAATATAAGCGTTCACTTGACGTCAACTGTCGTCTTGAAGGATCTACAGGAATATATACTTCGCTGCAAGGGTGGTTGTGCACGGCTCTAACAAATGTGACTTTTAACTCACCATTTACTGCACGGACCCAAAATCAGGATTGATAATGGCAATATTTCGACCTGAAGGATAAATTCATTCGAAATAAGACGTACGTCGATGGCCGACGTCATCTTTTTGTCTAGGTTGTGGTGGTGAGTTAGAAGTTGTATGCTCTTCGGAACAATGAAGATCACTTTCATCATCTACATCATGAACACAGGCATCTGATTCTGACGAACTGCGTTTATGTCCATATGTACAGACATATCTGACGAAAAAATACTTTAGAGTTGCGTGATCATTGTTCGTTTTACATACTGACATAACGTACTTAGTATGTGTTTATAACAAAAATAACTACCAATCACAGAATTCACACTAGCTTATGTACTTCTTGCAAACAGGTCTCAAAATTGTCCCAACTTGTAAATTCTCGCGATAACATAATACCATTGAAGATTCGTTCTACACCATGCATCATCGCGACGGCATCGTTTTCGTTACTGGAAAGACGGATATTATCAGACATAGTGTGACTGAACTGAATTCAAATATAAAAGTGTCCTGATTTGACCGCTTCTGCAAAACTTCACAAACTGTCGGTGTGACGCACTAATCGTCGTACTACAGTTTGACCTTCAAGTGCCCGCCAACGTTGTTAGTAGACGATACCCTTGAGGCGTTGCCTAAATCTTGTGGTATATGCTGTGGTTTTCGAGTAAGCTTTGCATATTTTAGAGATATTTCGCGGAGCTTTAAAGTTATATTCTTCCATTTTAATGTTAAGCAACCTAATAATCTAGAAATTTCTGATGTACTTTAACAAACTTATGAATATGTAGTCGCACGAATTAAGGAATTAATCAAAAAATGCGATCAGAACAAAAAAATCATTTAAAACCAGGTTATTCGTTATAAAGTTACTAAATCACTTAGTCGTAGCTAAATAAACTTTTTTTCAGTGTGACATTAGACTGTAATAAGCGCTTATTACAGATTTTTCCCTCAGCATTGAGGGAAAAATCTGTCTTCAAAGAATATAAATGGTCGATACGGATTCGATAACAGAAGTATATGAAAACCATCTAACCCAGTTGTAAGATACCATTTCTCGGGACTTATTTGAGTTTCGTCTCCTATAATTTCTTTTATTTTTTTCATTTATTTAAACATAAATATTGATACAAAAGGGCACTAAAACATATATGTGTCACACAGAAAAAAAGTGAGATCTTAAGGAAACAAGGAAAATGAGTATAGTAGATTGAAAAAAATACGTGGATAATGATACTAATAATATTAAGTGATTTCATACACATAGTTCCCTTTATTATCTTAAATAGAGCAAGAACAAAGATTGGTGCAGAATAATATGAATTCATTTTATTTCGTTAGGTTCTCATCGGCTGCTTACATCCTAAATTATTTGAAATTCAAATTATTACAGATATTGACATATTTATACATAAGAGTGTGAATAAGGATCAATACATGTGTATGATGATGTAGAAAATATTCAGATAGAGTTAATGAGCTCATAAAATGTTTGATTCGAATAAATAAATAAAGTTAGAGAGTGAAAGTTCTGGAACATTGAAATAGTGATTAGAACTCATGAAAATAGATTAATAGTAATAAAGAAAATATGAATTAAAACCAATCATTTATGTATGATGTAATTTAAACTTCAGAAAGAGTTCGAAGATGGGGAATGACGTAATAAATAAATAAATAGGAGTAAATGAATAGAAAGGGTGGGGATTATTGTTACCAGGGTAAAGAAAGATTTATTACTGTCTCTTTTTGTATACATAGATCTGGTTTTAAACGTTTGATTGCTAACGCTTCAGCGAATTTCAAAAGGTTAGAGTTTGATTGTTTGTTGATCACCTTGAAGGACTTCAGTATATCAACTTCATGTCCTGTATCAAGGAGATGTCTTGCGACAGCACTGTTGAATGCGTTTAATCCATTTAACCTTAAACTTTTCGGAATATGTTCTTTGAATCGGACGTAGGCTCTCCTTTCTGTTCTACCAATGTAACTGCTTTGGCAGGTACATGTAAATTTGTATACACAATTGGTGGTAACATGAAAGGGATACCTGTCGACCTTTGATTGTGTCAAAGAACATGTTGTTTTAGACAGGACAATCAATTTTGCTGCAGGATAAGTTCTCGTCAGTGCAGTTTTTAGTCTCATATTGATTAATCCTGTGATGTCGTCACCTTTGAATTGAAGTTGAATAAAAATAGGCTTTTTATTTGCTGTAATTTCTTTCGGTTTTTTATCTTCACATTTGCCGTATTTTTCAATAAATTTCAGTGGGTATCCGTTATTCTTTAAACATTTTTTAACATTCATAACTTCCTCTTCTAGTGTATCGGAAGTACAAATTCTTTATGTTCTGTGAAACAGTGTTTTGACCAGTGCTTTTTTGTAACTGATTGGACAAAAGCTATTGAAATTAAGATAACTACCATTCCATGTGTCTTCTTATAAACTGAACGTTGAATCGTACCATCTTTTCTTCTTTTCATCGCGATATCGAGAAAATGGAACTTGTTTTCTTTTTCATGTTCCATAGTGAAATGGATATTCGGATGTGCTTTGTTGAAAAACTCTAGCAGATTTATTGCATGTTGTTTATTATTACATACGATGAAGGTATCATCAACATACCTCGAATAATACGTCATTTCATCAATCGCTCGTTTGAGTTTGGTTTTTTCGAGGTTAGCCATGAAAATATCTGCTAGGACAGGACCTAACGGACTTCCCATCGCTACACCGTCGGTTTGTTTGTATTTGATATCGTTGAACTGGAACTGAACATCTTTTGTACAAATGAGTAATAGTCGTTTGAATTCTGGTACTGGTAGAGGTAGGATGTCAGAATGTTGACAAATTATGTCTATGGTTTCAAGAAGTGGTATTTTTGTAAACAAAGATGTTACATCAAAAGAAACCATAAACTTACCAGCAATATTTATGTGATTCATGCTGTCAGCAAATACAAATGAATCCTTTAGTGTATAGGTGGCTAATCGTTGACGCACTGGTTCTAACTTATCTGCCAACCATCGTGCAACTTTGTGGTATGGTGAATTGATCATTGACAAAATAGGTCTAAGAGGATAACCTTGTTTATGTATTTTCGGTAATCCATACATGTGGGGGCCCCACGACTATTACTCATTTGTACAAAAGATGTTCAGTTCCAGTTCAACGATATCAAATACAAACAAACCGACGGTGTAGCGATGGGAAGTCCGTTAGGTCCTGTCCTAGCAGATATTTTCATGGCTAACCTCGAAAAAACCAAACTCAAACGAGCGATTGATGAAATGACGTATTATTCGAGGTATGTTGATGATACCTTCATCGTATGTAATAATAAACAACATGCAATAAATCTGCTAGAGTTTTTCAACAAAGCACATCCGAATATCCATTTCACTATGGAACATGAAAAAGAAAACAAGTTCCATTTTCTCGATATCGCGATGAAAAGAAGAAAAGATGGTACGATTCAACGTTCAGTTTATAAGAAAGACACATGGAATGGTAGTTATCTTAATTTCAATAGCTTTTGTCCAATCAGTTACAAAAAAGCACTGGTCAAAACACTGTTTCACAGAACATAAAGAATTTGTACTTCCGATACACTAGAAGAGGAAGTTATGAATGTTAAAAAATGTTTAAAGAATAACGGATACCCACTGAAATTTATTGAAAAATACGGCAAATGTGAAGATAAAAAACCGAAAGAAATTACAGCAAATAAAAAGCCTATTTTTATTCAACTTCAATTCAAAGGTGACGACATCACAGGATTAATCAATATGAGACTAAAAACTGCACTGACGAGAACTTATCCTGCAGCAAAATTGATTGTCCTGTCTAAAACAACATGTTCTTTGACACAATCAAAGGTCGACAGGTATCCCTTTCATGTTACCACCAATTGTGTATACAAATTTACATGTACCTGCCAAAGCAGTTACATTGGTAGAACAGAAAGGAGAGCCTACGTCCGATTCAAAGAACATATTCCGAAAAGTTTAAGGTTAAATGGATTAAACGCATTCAACAGTGCTGTCGCAAGACATCTCCTTGATACAGGACATGAAGTTGATATACTGAAGTCCTTCAAGGTGATCAACAAACAATCAAACTCTAACCTTTTGAAATTCGCTGAAGCGTTAGCAATCAAACGTTTAAAACCAGATCTATGTATACAAAAAGAGACAGTAATAAATCTTTCTTTACCCTGGTAACAATAATCCCCACCCTTTCTATTCATTTACTCCTATTTATTTATTTATTACGTCATTCCCCATCTTCGAACTCTTTCTGAAGTTTAAATTACATCATACATAAATGATTGGTTTTAATTCATATTTTCTTTATTACTATTAATCTATTTTCATGAGTTCTAATCACTATTTCAATGTTCCAGAACTTTCACTCTCTAACTTTATTTATTTATTCGAATCAAACATTTTATGAGCTCATTAACTCTATCTGAATATTTTCTACATCATCATACACATGTATTGATCCTTATTCACACTCTTATGTATAAATATGTCAATATCTGTAATAATTTGAATTTCAAATAATTTAGGATGTAAGCAGCTGATGAGAACCTAACGAAATAAAATGAATTCATATTATTCTGCACCAATCTTTGTTCTTGCTCTATTTAAAATATTAAGTGAATGGGAGTAAAGGAAGTGAGTGAATGGGCTCACTGGACAAAAATGCAATCCCAAAGGGTTCTTTCAGTTAAAGTAGTTCCCCCCACTTATATAAATAAGGTAAACGAGATTGTAGTAGAAGCATCGCTGGCTTCTTTCTAAGCCATGTCTGACAACTTATTATGCCACTGTGTTTCACGATCTTTAGGACTAACCAGAGATTCGCGAATGACCAACAGATGCCAGTCCTGTACAGTTCTCTTTCTTATCACGGCTTATTTACACCTATTATCCCTCAGGGGAGCGTAGGCCGTCGACCAGCATTCTCCACCCAACTCTCTACTTTCCAATTGTTCACAATTGTTATTCATTCTTTTGATGTCTACTTCCAACTCCCGACACGGCGTGTTCTTCGGACTTACTTTTTTTCTTTACTTATTTGGACACAAGTACTGGTACAATCGGGCACCAGATACATATGCGCCACACAAATCTCACTTGATTTGTGCGAGGGATGTGATACTGCACGGGTGCTCAGACCGAAGCAGGTGGTTTTCTTAAAAAGCCACACCCGGAGCCTTCGACATAAAGGTCTAATCCACAAGGCAGTGGAGCAACATTAGGAGATGCAGTCTTATGGTAGCCAGTAACCAACGATTGGTTCATACGCCATTTGTTCTCTCAGGGTACTGGAGCCCATGTGCACCATTGGTTTGGAGTCAGGGTTTTCCAACTCCCCTAGGTGGACTCTCCATGTCCACCAACCCGGTTAAAGCGCCGGACATTCGCTTTACGTCCTCTCAACTTCGTAAACAACACCCCCGCCACGAGAAGGCAATGAGTAGGACTTCCGTGGCAGAGGCTATATACGCGTGGCCATGTGAGAGCATTTCAAGAATGGGGGCGAACTTTCCTCACTCTCGGCCGTACCAGGGCATTTGGGGGCACTGGAAAGAGGTATCTGTTCGCCCTTATTCTGATGTGTTTGTACATAGGTCCTTAGAGATGTTAATAAACTTCTTTAGCGCATTTTTACTCAACAGCTAACCCTAGAGTTCAGTCTTGTCCATTCGATTAATATCGCCTGTGCTCTGACGCCTAATGTAATGCCGATGCCAGCAAAAACGAAAATCCCATAGGGCTCCCGAATAAATGCATGTAAAACAAACTTTACGAACCTAGAGAGAGTATACTCTCTTCATCCTCTTACGTGCCAGGACATTTGTGGGTCTTTTATGATGTTAATTATCTGGAGGGTTTTATTTGGAAAAATCAAACATGTTCTCATGTTTTGTGACCATTATATGCAAAAATAATGTATCCATCTAAGTGAACATGGTCGAATTGATAACTGTAGTGAGATGAACAAGAAGGATCAATTTAGAATCGCTTTGTGTAAAATAAACAGGACTTCCTAATCATTGTTAGTCATATTTAAGCTAGTAATATCTTAACGTTTCGGTTCAGACTCGAGTTTCGACAAATTAATCATGATTCGAAACCAAAGGACATCTGTCATCTACCAAGAGTGTGATTAAATCCCATAATTATTCACATTTTATAATAGTGTCGACCTTTTTATTTACTTTTTAGAGTTATCTTGTATGAAAACGGACTGTAACTTTATCATCCTTAATTGAGCATGAGTACAAACAATAATCATGTACATCTTATTTCCTTATTGGTGAGCTTTTGTATTTCGTCTTATCTTATTTAGGCAGGCTCAACTGCTGGACTTTCCGTTGATCTTGCACTTTTCCCAATCGATACAATCAAAACTCGTTTGCAAAGTTACCATAACACTGTTCAGAGGACTCCTGGTTCCCTCCGTCTTTTCGCCGGTTTCCCAGCAGTTGCTATAGGTTCTGCTCCTGCAGGTAGCTTGGACTTTGAGTAGCTTTCTGTAAACTTTATGTAGCTGCAGTATTTTTCTTAACTTATGAGGCAGTTAAAAATGCATGTAGGGATCTCGGTATGCATCCGATAAGTCATTCAGTTCTATCTGCTTGTATTGCAGAAATTGTAAGATTTTAATTTTAATTTTCAGTATCTAGGTTGCTTGTGTTATAAGAGTACCCTGTGAAGTGGTGAAACAGAGAACGCAAAATCAACCTGCTCATGGTGTTTCGACTGTGTTTCTACAGACTTTGCGTAATGAGGTTAGTTATTGGATATTTTGGTTACTTCAACCTACTCGTAGTTCGTATTATTAAAATTAGTTACATGCTTATTACCTATGGTTTTCTACCCAATTGTATCCGGTATTTGTTGTACTCAACTTTCTAACCATGGACTAAGTTGTTTTTGTTTATTATGCTTTTTATTGACTTATCATCTAAAATCACTTCATAAACTTAAAACAAATTCGGCTTGTACAACAAACACTGTATTTGCTAGATCATATTCAAGGTTCCATTGAAATCATGAACCGATCTAAGTTAAACCACCATTGAAAACCTGGAAGCATTAGACGACCGTTTCTTCTTACTGTGAGACCCCTCAGCAGTCCTCATTTACAATTTTGAGAACGTTTAACTTACAGACAGCCGAGCCGGTATATTTAAAGCTGTATAATGTGAAGGAATTGGTTATTCCACTGAAGATTATGGAAACTAATCTGCTATAAAATAGTTAATCATTACTTAACAAATATAGAAATAATAGACTGCGTTGACATCCGTGTTTCATAGACCAACATGAGTTAGGTCAGTTGGTAAATTTTCTTGTGTGGATTTAAGTAAATCCCTTGACCTTTATTTGGTAGATGAAAATTGTCAAGTAGTGGTCTTCGTACACCTACTTATATGTTCTTGAATTTTTCAATTGTTCGTTTGTATGTTTACAATTCTTACCAAAACTGATCTCAGCTGATGCTGTGGTAGTTCCTCATTTGATTTATAGCTCCATAAAATGTTGGTTCTCGAACATATGTTTCAATAATACTCAACAGAGAATACAAGCTTTTTTAGATCCTGAGTTATAGATTTTTGTATTTCTTTTGTAAGATCGTTTATTAATAGACCTTTACTTTGAGCTAATCAAGTGAGCACTTAATCTAGTCATCCAGTGGCATTAAACACTACATTATCTTATCTCTTATCGCAAAATATTTAAGGTACCATTATTACACATATCAGCGTCCAAACACTGAATCTATGTGTGCTTTTACGGTAGTTCGTAAAGAAAAATGAAATTTTCGCGAAACAAGCAATGTTGGTGTATAAATTTGGGACGTCTGTTTAAAGGACTGTATTTAGACTTAACGTGTTTAGCCTCCATTGCAAACAAGTTAATCGTTTTTCATTGAATTTCAACTAAATATTGAAGTGATTTTATATAACATTTTCAATATATCCCAGGGAATTCGTGGATTTTACAGAGGATATGTCAGCACATTGTCACGAGAAATCCCATTTTCACTCATTCAATATCCCATATGGGAAAAATTAAGGGTAAGTATATCTTTACAAAGGACCACTTTGTTCGTCCTAGTAATTATGTGTTTTTCATACCAGTCTCATCGAACACATTGTTATGACTTTATTAACTCCACTACCACCAATCGATCCGTGAATATAAACGGTTGTTTGTTCACTGTAATTCTGGAAGGTTGCTAGTATCGTTATCTCTTACGTAATAGGTGTAGCTTCTACTATTGTGAACGAGAACACAGGTGGAGACAACGAATGTATATTGATACAAAATTGCAGAGTATCTGGGTAAAATATAAGTTACCATACACAAAATACTTCATTTGCAAATATCTCATCAATTGTTCTTTACATTCTGTATGATCCTTCCAATTCACAATTCCTTCGTATTTCGCTTTCTGTTTTCTTCAGTTCGATCTTCTTAGCTTTCTACCGCCATGCATTTCACTTCTGATTGGTGTTACATACTACTTATGTTTGTTGACATAAGTAGCGTACACTACAGTTAATTTTGGCACTTAGGGTTTTTTGTGTTCACATTACAGTCTCGTAGTACTTGACGCTCCCGCACAAATCTAGGATTACATATAATTGAACAATAGGAATTGAATTTGAATTCAATAAATACTTTGTTTACATGCGTTTTGAGGAGGTTAGCGGTCAAACGGTTTTCTGATATGTTAATTTAGCACACCCTTAGTATCTAAATGTCTCCTACAATAGACTACTCGCTAAAGTATTGAAATTTCTTTCATCCGCATGTTAGTAGTTATAAATCTTTACGTTCCAAAGTTACAACAAAAATCGAGCTAATAATCAACCTTATATATATGGTCTTTGTATTGAATAGACCTTTATCTGATTACTTTTCCTCTTTATGCTAAACTGTATTCGTCTGTGGATTGTTTATTAAAATAGAGTTGGAACTAGTGTACGGGAAACTTGATTCCACATATTATTAAGCACAAGAGAAGCGATTTTCCTTCTCACATCAACAATCTGCTTGTAGTTACATCCAATGTTTGAATCATAAACAAGCAAAATAGGTCTTGAAATAATAGTTTACTAAACTTCTCATCACAGCTGGTATATCCCGATTTCTATGAAAAAGTGATTGTATGACAGAGTTGTACACTTTATTTCGCCATATAAATGGAATTGCTGTTAATAGTTAAATGCATGAAAATTTATAACTAATAAATTATTAACCTCTTTAAAGAAATAATTTTTAGGCTGGACGTATAAATGCGAATTTGTATTCATCCGGACTTTTTATATCAAGTGGATTACCAGTAGAGCAAATGATGGAAAATAACTAGATTTATAAAGTTTATTACTAATGTTCTAGTGTGTATGAGTTGTCGATTTTCGAGTTTTGCAACCACTCAGAAACTCGTTTGGAGGCACTATACATTATGAAGAAAAACCTGTTGTAGAATAAACGAACTGAATGTAGTTTTATGTAAATTTTAAACGCCTAGATATTGTATGCTTTTGCTTACAACAATGTGGTTCACTTTTTGATGCTTTTTTCTCTTGACTTTTAATCGTGTTCGGTTAAAGTGACTTAGCTTCCGATATATAGATTATTAATTAATTATATATTATTAATTACTCAAATTATTCTTCCTAACTCATTGTTTTCAGTATATGACTATGGAATGGAACAGAAATGCAGTTGGAACCGATGACATTACAGACCCAACAGCGTTCCAGTTAAAGGCTTGGCAGTCAGCTATGTGTGGATGCTTAGCTGGCTCAATAGCTGGCGCTGTAACCACACCTTTAGATGTGGCCAAAACTCGAATAATGTTGGCTGAGGTCAGTTGTATTATCCTTTATCACCTTTTTATTTTCTATGTTTATACAAATGCGTTTTAATTGTGTATGTTTTCAGGTGTATTCATTTTAGTTTTCTCTGATGAACAGAATTTAAATTTAAATAACGCGAATTAATAGATGAATTATCTGATTTTTAGTTCTTTATACAACTCGATAATCCGTAGGTGGACAACTTCAGTGGAATAAACTTCTTTCAGTGTGCAGAATGTTTTCTAATCATTGTTGGGAACGCTAAATCCCCAGAAGTCACTTGGTTTACGTTTCATTTTTGTGATTTCATTTTGGAAATTAAAATTTCTCATTTTTGCGTCAAAAGCGCCCACCTTTACCCCAAGTTTGTATTTCCCACTTGGAAAGACCTAAAATACCATTGATTTGTTTCCTCTCCTAGTACGCTATTTTGTGACGTTTCCTAAGAACATTTTTGTGCCGCATATATATTCATTAGTTGTGTGCTTATTCTTTCGTGCTTCCGACTGCTTGTGGAATATGCATTTCCCTCCGCTGAATCTTGTCTTTTCTCTCTAGTTAGCAGGGTGCGAGTACAGTTAAATAGCTTAACTTCTCTTGTTATTGTGTTGCTGACTTTCGTTCCGTTCTCCGGCTTTATGTGATATCCTAATCTCTTCAAACGTAGCACTCATCTCTTGATCTCAATGTTTAGTGCTACTTTTACGCCACAACGATTTAATATGAAATATCTAATCGTTTAACAATTATATATTGGATTATTACCAACATATATTACTCAAAGGCCAGCTATCCCTTACGCGATCAGCCTTTTGGGAGTTAAACGCATTTAGCAACAAAATAGCTATGTAATGATCGTTATGAACTGTAACCATTGCATTTATTTCACTCTTCAATGAATTACTCTTTAGTAGGTTAGGTTTGAACTTTTAATTGGCGTTATCAAGATACTTAGTATTTTATAGTTGACTTGGATTATTTTTAAGCATAATGCAAATAATGTGACGATCCATCTACTACCATAGTTTTACTCTCCTTTTTATTATTAATTTTAGCCCAATTCTAATTTTGCATCTGGTCATATAATTTACGCCATGCGAACAATATTCCAAGAGAGTGGAATTCATGGGTAGGTTGTCTATTTTCTTTTCATTTGAACCTGTCTTCTAATTTCTTCGTGCTCGTTATATGAAATTCCATGCCATATATATACTCCAGATTTGTAGAGATCGGTTTTCATGACGTCTCCAAAAAGCAAATGACAACAAAATAATTAAATTTCATTTAAAAAAGTGTTTTGTGATTGTATTTCTTTTATGTGCCCTGTCATTCACAAGCTGTGTGTATATGTATGTTTTGGTTAACTACCTAGCTAACCGCTGCCCATGTATCTGACATTCGGACACACTTGTTTTGTAGTAAGCGTATATTGATCTTTTAGGAAAGTATGTAATTCACAATATTACTGTATAATCATAATTAAATAGGGCAGATAATACTGATGTGTATCATGTATTTATCTTCATCACTAGTAAGTAAACTTCCAAATCACCATCTTTAACCTCCTTCCCGAAGTCAAAAGGTTACGCATTGTCTAGTCACATTAAGATCACTTCAGAAAAAAAACGAACTCCTGTGTGATTTTCGCGGCATTACTTTGGAAAATTTAGTTTCTTTTAAATTAAAAGTATTTAACATCTCTTAGAGAACGCTCTAGACGATTAAGTCAGATAAAAGGTGTCCTGATCAGCTGTTTATTATTCCGCTACTTTTTAAGCACGAAAATTTCAACTCAGTACCTTGGAGTTTTCACATTAATTTTCTAGTGTTGCCATATTTAAGTTTTAGTCATGTAAAAACAAGATAAACACTTCCGGATTCGAGTTAAATCGCGTTACTATTTCTTACACAAAATATTTTATTATTCACTCTGATTGTCGAATCTTTTTTAGAATTTTTGCTACTAATAACAATCATTCAGCAGTCGGTTTCCGCCTATATCATTAAAAATGTGCATCAAAATTGTACTGCCTTTGATGTAAAAGAGATTGATCATTTGCGCTAATTCACTCCTATCCACGAATAACGTAACTCTGCTGAAGAAAGCTTTTGAGCTAAAAATAGTTTTCGAAGTAATAAATATATTTTCGATATATCCCAATGATTAGAAAAATTGTATTTCTGACGTTTCGTGACTTGATGCAAGTCACTTCTTCGGAGTAAATAAAAAGTGCTTTCGGTAACGTCCCAAGAATAGTTGTAAAATGTTTATCACTTCCCTCCTCATCATAACCGGGATACTCTGACACCCCCTCTCTCATTTTGTGGGATAACATTGAGATGATTGTAGGTTTTTCTTTTCTGATTCCTAGCGATAAATTTTAAGGTTATGAGAATAAACGTTTAAGAAATAACGATTAGTTTAAATGCTATCGGAATATGTATTCAATATATTCACGTGCACACTTTTTTAGACTTAGGTATATAAAGTTATGGCAAGCTGAGAAACAAATTATCTCTCGCTATAACCAAGTTTGAACTTGAATCTAAGCTACTGATAGGTTGATTACTAGAATTCATTATCAAAAAATGTGATAACTTTGCAACTGGTTGAAAGTAATGGTTCAAATATTTAAATCATTTCGATTTATCCATTTATGAGAAAATATCATCCTACTAATACTAATTTATGTCGTCTTTTCAATAGTTTGTTATGTGCGATCAAATCCTTGAGTATGCATCCTGTATTCTTCAGCTAATAAATAAGTATTGTATAATTTATCTGTATTCACCCTTCATCTAACTAAAGGGTGATTAATGTGGTTGATCTCTACCTGTATAAATATACTATTGCTTACCAATAATTTAAACAGCATGTACAGAAATATCAAGTATTTGGTTAATACTGTTGATATATAAAACTCAGTTGTAACTAATATAAACAAATTGGTCATCACTTATATAAACTACAGTGTTATTTAGTCCTAAGAAGTGGCCAGATTGTTTTAAAAGCGATATCACAAAATAAACAGTCCAATCCATTCTGGCATTACAAACTGATATCTCACCTTATAGCTAGTATTTGTTAATAATAGGTTACATTTTACAACAGGTAATTGTTTTAACTCATCATTTTTGTCTTCTACGTTATCACTGGCTATCAAAGTAAACTTCGAAAAGTAAATGAACAGCACCATCGGGAAAAATGAACGGTGGCTAGCAGTGGGATTTAGGACGCGCGCTTCGCCCTATTTGAGACTCTTCAGCTGAGTGTACCTGCATCCTTGAGGTTTAGTTTACTCCGGGCCTAGAACTCAGTACCATTCGCTCCAAATTCATCTCGTCATCCGCTTAGCTACTGGGTTCAGATAACTACTAGTTTATGTAATACAATTAAGTTTAATTCATTTGTATTGGCTGTTTGAGTCTTCCCACTGATGTTTAGGACTGCAGTCGATCAGTCTCTTCTGGCATATGTGCTTGTGAATTAATGGTAATATCAAAGAAATCCGCACAGATTGCACATATGCAAAAAAGACTGATCAATCGCAGTCTCAAACATAAATGGGAAGATTCAAACAACCAACACTAATAAATAAACAACATTTAGTAAACTATGACTTTAGTTTTATCTCTTTCAAAATAGAACAATCCATAAGATTATGCTTATTTTCTGTTTTGAATATAAAACTGCCCATTTAATTATTTTCAATGATTGTATTGGTTTACTTTCGCTCCAGGCTTTTCTCAGGTTTAATACCTCGAATCACATTACTATCTGTTGGTGGAGCTATATTTCTTGGCATTTATGATATTTCTACCAGTTTCTGGACTTCACTTCTTCAAAATTCTAAAGATTGATGTAACTACGTACTTGACATAGTTTTTTTTTTTCAATAAAACACTACTATTTTGTGCCTTTTGTTCTCAGTCCGTGATGGTATTTTTCGGTGTATTGTACCTATTTAGTTAGTTCTAAATAATTTTTCCTAAACGTTCTAAAGTTGACACTGTCATTGTTTGTTTATTTCCCATAAATGTTTTACTTCGGCTGCTCAACACATGAATACGTAAATCTTTAGTTTTGTTATTGTTAAGTGTTTCAGCTGTCTTGTCTCAATTTCTTAATACATAACTCACTATTTTCTAACCTTCCATTGAGAAAATTGATGTTTTTGAATAAGAAGCTGTGAAAAATAATCACCATCCAAAAATGTCTAAAATAAAAGCTTTACATGCCTGTCTGTTCTGAACTATTCAGATCAAAGTGAATCGTCTGTTTTAGTATCGAAATGTAATTATTACTCTTCGTTATTCTTCATTACAAACGGATATAATACTCATTTGTTTGCATTATATTCATATGTTTATCTCTATACCTATATAAATCACCAGAATGGTTCATTTCCAAATGCATACACTCGAAATATTACTTAGGTCATCTGAAAAATTATCACTACTATTTCCTAATATAATAACATCTAAAAGTTTTAATAACTTCAAACTAACTATTGCTAATTTGTTAACTTCCTGGTTGATATTTTAATGATGTTTGTGTTCATGTTACAAGTCGATATTGTTTAGATACTGAATAGATTGATGATTCTTGAACAACACTGTTATATTGTCTGAGAATTTTTCTGTAGTATTGTTGTATTTATATTTAATATGACGGAGAGTTATCTTGATGAATTATTTGTACTGTTGTTAAGTAAATGAATGTATTATTTTACTTGATAATCGTATTCATTATTCATATCTTATTATTAAAGCATCGTAAACATCTCAACAACAATTGGTTTCGGAAACTAAAGCACTACAAGACAAATATCAGTAATGATTGAATATAATCAGTAACATCTTGGATGCTTTTTGCACAGACCAAATAAGAAAGTACCACTTAATTGTGATTAGTAGAATTCTATGCGTTGTGTATTTCAGAAATCAATGCATCTGTTCTATATGCTGCCGCTAGACATCGATTTATAGAAGGCAATCGTTTCTCATTTAATTATATTAGGATTTTCTGGATATCGCAACATATTTACAATTAAATAGTATTTGTTTTCTATCACCAGCATAAGCTTTTCTCGTGACATTTTCTGTTATCTTTGTAAACGTACTTTCTCACACATTGGCAAAATACAGTACTCAATGTATACTATACATTTAATTAACGCATCTTCCAATGCTTATTTCAAATAAATTACAAGACTATCTATAAAACAATGGGTAAACGTCACCATTATTCAGTTTTCTGATTAGACTTAATTAATAGACTGGTGGTTAACTAGATTTGTTTTGACAAAGTAATGCTGTGAAATCCCGACCAAAATATAAGGCAAAATGGTTAAGTAATACGATTTATGTTGAAATAAATCGATCACATATATATTTAATAAGTTCAGTGATACTGAGACCATGTTGAAATGACTTTCCGATACCTCGAATGTTACTTCTTTATATTTTCACTGCAGTCCGAGAGTCGGACCCACGGCCTTCAGTCTCACGTGAACGCCTTATCTCTAGACCAGTGAGCCGGTATCCAGCGGTGTTAATGTCTAATTTCAACCAATCCATGATATTGCGCAATATCTTTCATTGTCTTCAGTGGGTAACCGCCTCACTCAACGCAATTAAACTTGACTAACGGCGGCTTATAGGAATAACGCGTAAGAATAACCAATGAGTTTGTTTGTTATAATATGTACACGGTGTGCGGAGTTAATCAGGCTAGCATATTCATCAACCTATCTGTTTGTAATAAAGATAATCAACCTTTTGGTAAGAAAACTATTGGTTAATCACAAATAGGAAAGTCATTGATTGGTAGTCAGAGTGACCAAACTTTTCGCTATTCGTATGAACTTTCCAAATATTTTATCGGCAAGGATTTGTCTGTTCATAGTTTCCATTGTGAGGTCTATTAAGAAAAAACGAAATAATCACATCATTTAATCTGAAGCCAACACTGTTACTTAGTTTGTAATGTGATTTTCTCTTTTGAAACACATTCATTTTATTTGCTAACTACACAATGAAATCGAAAGCGTACATACCTTACAAGTTTTTTTTGCCTGTTAAGTACTATCATTTCACTTTGATATATTAAATATATTTTAAAATAATGTAGCGTGCCTTGTTTTTATTCATTGTTTTTTTAACATTACCTTTGGGAAATATTTTCAACTTACAAAAAATCAATGTGTAAAAGGTTATTCGCTAATAGATAGATAGGAAGTAAAAAACAAATTGTAAATTAAATACCACATCTCTTACGTGTTTGGATATTTTTCTATTGAACTGAAAATAAAATAGTGAGGATCAATTATTATCAGTGTTAACTTTGAAAGTTGTAGGCTATTCAGAAACATGTTTCCTACGAGTATATTCATCCTTGGAGAGGTAAACTGAAGAAAACTTAGTTCTTTTTATATCCTGAGGGTTAACTCTTTCATTTAGCTGTTACCTTTACTGTATACTTAATTCTCTCATTTAGTCTGTGAAGTAGATATATACTTCAATTAGAATAGATAATTCATTATTGAAATAAAGAGAATCCATTTCACTTAGCTTCACATGCTTAGTTCTAGTACACGAAATCATAAGTACTATAAATGTTCTTACATCACATTTCTAAGCAACAATTAAGCTTATGGTTATTCAACCTAATGGTATACAAACTACCATGTATGGGAAATAACTAAAACGTCTTAGTTGTTAGCAACAGGTGGCCTACTAGTCTTCAGTGCTAATTTGGTTCTATTGATCAAATTTTGTATTATGGCCACTAATACGAATGATTATATCGCAGTTTTTTTATCTTATCGTTGCGAACGACCAATTGGAAATCCCGGACCTAGATTTTGCGTTTGTTGTCACTTCAATTAATTACGTAACTACCGAAATCATAACCACCAATATCCTTACACAAAATAAAGTCATGCGCACTTTTCATGTGATTTATTTGTGTATCTACTTATTTGATATTTCCTGTTTATTTATGTACTACGTCAAATTCGCATCGACCAATCTTTTCATTCATGAAAAATAATCAATAACCACATAAAGAAATCTCGGACAATGCTAACACTGTAACTGAATCTTTATTTCAGTATCCTACAGCTTATTCTTTTCGATGTGCTGATGTTCATTCTTATAGTGCACCCAAAATCTACCGTGGTTATTAATAATTCAGTTAATTATATACGAGAAGAGTCCTATAGTGTAAGGATAACCATTCTTTCTTAATTTTAAATAAAAGTCAAAAATCCAGCATTTTCGAAGATTCTTACATTCATTTAGTGTGTCAGTACTGGATATAGGAGTGTAATTTTCACCGAGACTTCATTTTGATCATCTAAATATGTCGGCCTATGTCTTCTGTAAGCATGGCACTGTAGCGCATCTCAAGCTGCCGCACGAAAAAAAGCAAATAGAGTTGAGGTTGGAAACCCTTATTGAATATTATGCTCTTATATCCAGCAATAATTCACTGAATGAATGGAAGTGCTAAATTTTGCACATTTATTAAACATTGTGAAGCAAGCTCGCAACAAAATTATAGTAACTCTCCTACAATCTATTTCGACTTTTGTTTGTTTTGTTAAGCCCTTTTATTAACTTATTCAGCAGACAATGTTATTCGAAGAGTAATAATTCGTCTATTTCTTTGTACTATCACGATCAAATGTGACAGCCCACGCACATATCTCTAACAAAAATGTTAATCACTTAAATAATACTCGGTAAGTCATTCTTTTCCCCATGTATATATGTACTCGAATCTTATTATTAGCCTTTGCATCGCCTAGCTGCACCTTGATTCGATTTGAACATAAATTTCTCTATATACTCGCTCGCATACACACATTCGCCTATCTACTTCAAATTCGCCCGATATGTTTGGTCCGTGCTATCCGCTAATAAAATGTAGTTGCCGCTTCTGATTTCAAATACCGTTAGGATATATATAATAACGGTTATCGAGGTGATCGATTAACGAAGATAAGCCACTACAAATTCACGGACACGTATCCTATCCCGTTTTGTATTTAATCAATGTTTAGAACATGTTGACAAGTAAGCGGGTCATGAATCGATATCGTATTTCAGAAGTAGATGTAAAATAGTAATTTATCACATTGTTTATAAAAATTTTTTTTCAGAAATGATTGACGGAATAAAACTCTTCAGCTTGATGCTCAGTAATATATATTCAGCAGTTTTGCCAAATAATCTAAAGCTCAAAAATGTTCAAAGGTTACTGAATTAAGAGTTGATGTTGGCGTCTCATTGTAATTGACGCAGTTAGTTTTGCAGAGCGTCACTGAAATCATGAATCGATCAAGGTCAGACAACCATTGAAAACCTGGAAGCACTGAACACCCGTGGGAGGCCTCAGCAGTGCCCACCCACTACCCCACAAGCGAGAATCAATCTCAGGATCTTCAGTCTCGTGTGTGAACGCTTTGCTCCTGACCTACTGACCTTTTATCCAACGGTGTACAAGTTTAACTTCAATCAGTCCATAATAGTGTGCGACCATCTTCCATTGTCTTTGGTGGATAACTACGTCACACCCCACATGGTTTATCTCCACTGGTCACCACTTCTAACTAGTAGTCCGGAAATTCCCTCTCGAAGCTAGTCGCTAGTGAGTACATGATGGTTGTCGATATACGTTTGTGGACATTATTGAATTTCAGTGAAATCATGAACCAATGAAAGTAAGACTATCACAGAAAAACTGGAAGCTCTAGACTGTTGTTTCGTCCTAGTACAAGACTCTAGGTTTTCAATGGTTGTCTAACTTAATTGGTTCATGATTTTGATGAAATTCAACAATCTTCACAAACCTATATTGGAGATTTACAGAACGTTTTATTAAAAAATATCGAGGATTCAAATTCTCATTCTGCCGACAGTTAAAATTTTTAGCCTATCCATTCTCTGTCAAGAAAGATTTAATAAACCATTGAATTATGAGTCTTTTTTGACTTTTCTATACTTGCTAATTCTTTGAACATGTCATAGAATTTTCTGTGTTCTATGTTTCCTTATGATATCATCAACTTGCATTGATTATCTTATAATGTCAAATATTCATATCAGTTTGACGTTTTTGCCCTGTAGTAATATTGGGTTAACTCAGACTTCGGCAAATATCTATCGTAAAACTAAGTCATCAGCCATTCTAATATCACTGTAGTTTATTCATTTTATAATGTATTGGTTATTTGCGATATTGCACAATCTAAAAATAATAGACGAACTTTCTGCTTACATATCTACGTGGAATATTCAGATTCAAATCGAGACCTCATTTTAAACCACTTCAGTTTTAGAAAGCGTTTATCAATTATATATATTATTAGTATTTGCACACTATATATAAATAAGTCTCTAGGTGAAATTCAGAATTACCGATAACTTTAGTATCTTCCCCGGTCAAGAACTGCAGTCGACAACCCCCTTTTTTATTATGAATCTATAATAGGATAGAAAGGCGTGAAAAATCAGCAGAAAGAAAACATTCGTAGTAGATTCTTCCTTGACGGACAGATTACGCTTTTTCCTCACATTTAGATGATAAGGACACATAAATTAAGTTACTTTCTTTTAGACGTGATAAGTAGCGTGTCTCATTACCTGGAGAAACATGGTTGGAAAATCTTTAGTTGTTATTTTTTCTTATCATGAGTAGAGGATATATAAAACCGAAAATCATTGAGGTCTTCAATAGAGCAAGAATGAAGATTGATGCAGAATAATATGAATTCATTTTATTTCGTTAAGCTTTCATCAGCTACTTACAACCTATAACATTTTTAAAGGCAACCTTATTACAAATATTGACATTCGAAGATGACTAAAGGTGATTATGTGTATCATGATGTAGCGAAGATTTCAATAGAGTTATTAAGGTCATTAAAAAATTTTTGTTCAGGACGGATAAAGTTTGGGAGGGAAAGTTCCAGAACATTGAATTAATGATTAGAACTCATGGAGTTAACAAACATTAGATGATTATGTAATGAAACAACTAAAAACAGATTAATGGTAAAGATATGGATTGAAATCAGTCAGCTATGATTTGAAGAAAAATGACAATGATGTAATTAAATTTCAGAGAGTTGAAATAGTGAATGACATAATAAATAAAAAGGGGAGTAATGTGACTAGGGCAAAGATTTATTACTGCCCATTTTCGGATACATGGATGTAGTTTCAGACGTTTGGTCGCCATCGTTTCGGCAAATTTCAAATGATCGGAGTTTGTTTGTTAATCACTTTGAAAGACCTAAGTGTATCGATTTTATGTCCTGTGTCAAGGAGATAGTAATGATGAATATTTTTCATTCATTTGATCCTAAACCTTTCAAAATATGTTCTTTGAATCGGATGTAGGCTCTCCTTTCTGTTCTGTCAGTGTAACTGCTTTGGCAGATACATGTAAATATGTATAGACATTTGGTGGTAACATAAAAGGGATACCTATCAACCTTTGAGTGTGTTAAAGAATATGTTGTTTTGAACAAGACAATCAGTTTACCTGCAGGATAAGTTGTCAATGAAGGTTTTAGTCTCATATTGATTGACCCTGTGACATCATCACCTTTGAATTTAAGTTTAATAGAAATAAGTTTTTTATTTGTTGTAGTTTCTTTGGTTTTTTATCCTCACGCTTTCCATATTTCTCAATAAATTTCAGTGGGTATCCGTTTTTTAAACATCTCTTAATATTCATTACTTCCTCTCCTAGTGTATCGGCAGTACATATTCGTTATATTCTGTGAAAGAGTGTTTTAACAAGCGCCTTTTTGCAACCGATTGGACAAAAGTTATTGAAATTGAGATAAATCCCGTTCCATGTATCTTTCTTGTAAACTAAACGTTGAACTGTGACATCCTTGGTTTTATTGTAGTATTAAGGTTAACTGTTGCCAATAACTTCGTCATTAAGCTCTACAGTTATAAGTCCATAATTATTGTGTTACAGAGGTCAAACTAAGGCATAATATTGAATAAGACAACGTTGGATGTGTAAAAATGATGATAGACTTTTGCATTTGTTACGGTATAAGTGCTTTAAAAATATACTGTGGAATAGCTTTAAAAAAGGTAGGAAAATAACAAAATTGCAGGGGATTAGGAGTTTAAGCACCGGTAGTAAAATTTTTGGTGCTAAATATCAATAATTTAGACTATAAATCATAGTACTACAACCCAAACAGATACTATCTTCTAATCCTCTCTCTTCCAAAACCTAGCTCCTAACCTTAGAACTCTCAGACCGTAGCCACTGAACCGTAAATCCTAGCCTCAAAGCTTCTTAGCCCTAGCTACTAACTCTGTAATACTGACCTTAACAGTCCATTCAACACCAAGATTACTACCACAACAGCGTTTTAAATATGCACATCATCTAGCTTAATTTTAATTGGTCGCCCAATGCCGTCGGTATTATATGTTTTACTGTATTCATTAATAATTTTGCTATTAAAAGAATTGCTATATTCAGTGTACATTCAAACATTCACGAGCATTCCATGTTATAAAGTAAGTCTATATACATTTGTTTGTACTTAGTATTACTGTTCAAGAATGATCGGGAATCCAGATCACATTTGGTGAATTACCTAACATCTCTTACTCATTACATTATCAAAACAGTTATTAGCCATTTACGAAAAAACTGATAAACCTTTTGTGATACTCCTAATTTTTCTGCTGATAAATTTGCAAAACGTAGCGGAGTTATATATTGAGTGTCTCGCTAAGCGTCTCGCTCAAAGAGTTAATAACAAAGCATATCTATGCCTTTTCATTCAGCTACTAGTCAAGTGACCTCTGCTAAAACTAACAAGTGAATCGATATTGGCGTTTCTCATTACATCAGTATCTAATATTTGAGTAAATAGACAATTCAGATAATCAGGAAGTTTTAATAGACTGTCCAATCAATTGATAAAAACCTATGAATGACGTTTAAGTTATTTGATATGTTTTCACAGTTCCACTCATAATTAGAAATTTAACCAGTCCGTCTCACTGGCTAGCCAAGATTTTCAGTAGGCGTTAATTCATAACGTTCTTGTTATGATATGATATGTTTATCACTTCTAGAAATTTATATCATATAGATACAAAGAGAAATATTTTGCTTGTCTGAACATGATCTAAAGGTTTTTAAAATGAGAGGAGAAACAAATATGTAAAAATGTCTAAAACAAGCTATTTCGCACTCATAAAAACACAGTCTCATTATACAATGTGGTAGCCAAATATGTAAAACAATTCACTACTAACTTGTTCACAAATTTGTTATAAAATTCTGATAGGTTATGAAATCCCCTTAAGAATTTAATGGTAAAAATCATTTGTTCGAATCAGATTTACACTTGTTTGGTGTCATAATAAGTTACCTGTGTAATGACTTTTGAGTAATTTGATTATGTTCATTTCTCCATCTAAAGTATTGAGACGGACCAGCAAGAATTTACTCAACAATATAATATTTAGATTTCAGAGCTGAAGAATGGGTTTCCACAGTTTTAAACGTTTAAAAGCATTTTAAACATAGTTTAATTTACTGGTTATTTTAAGTTTCTTTTGACATTTGGGAAACTATTGGTTATTTCCAAATGAAACGAATAGACTTTTAGGCTAAAAACACCTTGACTATACACTTCAACTATGCAATATCAATTGAATTCTATTCATCATTTTGATAACTCAACTTTCATAGTCTGAAAAAAGTTTATATCCATAATATTTACTTTCTATGGTCAAATTGCATTTTGAAACAAGCGTCAGAATTCAGATCCTATTTCGTAAATGCAAATCTTACACGTTTACTGATGGAAAATATTTTTTCTCTGAGTACAAAGCACTTATGGTAGATTGCACTGTTGTAGTCATTCCGTTGATAAAAATTGATGTAGTCGGCTATGAAGGCTGTGTGTATGTTAATCCAATTAATAAGTCATACTTATTAGTATTTTAATATTTAAAAAATACAGACCAAGTATTTGCTTTCATATGGTTCTTTATTAAGTGCATTGATCAACTTCTGTGTTAGCAAGTATGCAATGGGCATTATATTTAAATAAATGTTCATCTCTTTATCTAGTAAGTGAACGAAATATTTCCCTACATGTATTTAATTCTATCTAGTCATTTCTATCATCCTAAATTTCCAATTAAGCCCCTGAAGTAATACAAAGTACATTGTGTAGTGACAAACATATTTTTTTCGTTACTTTCTATCAAAAGACTTTTTTTATAAAACGAAAATATTTATTCGATACAAGAAAATCAATCACTCTTTTTTTAAGGAAAAACAATACAGAAATTTGGCAAATAACATTTATGTAATGTATATTCCATGATTTCAAAAACAAAAATGGATAGATAGAATAGAAACAAATAATACCTCAAAATGATACTTAAGTCATCGATACTAAAATAATGATAACAATTCAACATAATATCTTTTCACATTTACCAGACATATCTTCCTACCCCCCCCCGCGAAAACTAAACTATTCGCCGGAAAAAAAACCAACTTCATAAATCAAAATACAAACAGTCTGACCTTTGCCGGTAGAAATATATTTTTCTGAATCAAATAATTCAACCAATCATAAGTAAGATATGTTCAACGCATACTTTTTAAATTTTAACCAATCAAATATTAAATGTTGATTTTAGTTATTACTGAATATAATGAAGAGAACACGTGTTAAGCCTTGTGTTGTTAGTATATAGGCAAATTAATTGTTAATATATAACTTATATGAAATGAATGGAATAATAGTAAACTAGATATACAAAAATTTCATTATATTATTCATCGAAAATGCATTGAACAAAAGAAAAAAGAACAATATTGTGGATGTATTTCTTATTATATTTAATAATGCTCAGGTTTATTAAAAAACAATTCAGGATATATTTTTGTATTTTACATTTATATATTGGTACTATATGGATATTTATTAATATCTGGTTATTTACTAACAATCTAGTTTATTCTATACCTCATCAATTTGGTGAATCTCTACAAATTAATGAAGCAGCGGTAAGTTATATTTAAATAATCATATAATTGATAACATGATCCCGTTGTTTTTTTTCCTGTAAGATTTAATTAGGTCTTAATTTATATTATCCTTATAGCTGTTAATGTTGGCATACTTTTTATATGAACTTATATTTACAGGATACTTTAAGTATAGTTTGGAGTTAGATTGATAAAAGTTGAAAAAAATTTGTTAATTCTTTATAATATGCAAGTTATTTCGATACGTTTTATATGTGTAATTTAATTTACTTGAGTTTGATTTAGTTTAAGTAAATGAAATGTGTTTTACTAACATTTCTACATAGATTCATCAGTAATTGACTCTTTATGTAGGAAAAGCGATCAATATATTATTCAAAGAAACTTGTTTGAATGAAATGTTTCATAGAAAAATTCGTTTCAGATAATTATTTTTCCTCCATGTAATAAATGATAATAAAGTTAATTTATACAATGGACTTTGAATTTTCATTAGAAATTTAATTGAATTTGTTTACCTAGTTATTATGATTTCTACTGATTGTATGACTCATAACAATTTTATCCACCCTAAAATATTAAAAAAAGTGTCTAATAACTGAAGTGTATAAATAAATAGAATGTTGCTAACATACTGAAAAGTCGTAGTATAAAAATATCCGGAGTGTAGTTCAAATAAATTTCACTGATTTTACAAATATAAAAAATATCTTAAGCCTATATTACTAGTCATGCTGTAAAGGTATCTCATATTAAATTTTTATGTTGTAAAAACAAATATTGACTGAGTATAATACAGGAGTTTTGTCATACAATATGTTTTACTTAATGAAATTAACCGATTTTTCATCTTTGAATAAAATTATCTCAATATAAGAGTTCAAGTTATTGTTGATATCCACGTAAATCCAGCTGAGTTGTAAATAAAATGAAAAGCCCATAATAGATCTCATTGGTAGCCACGATCTATCAATCCTACATATCTATTAGTATAATTTACGTTTAACGATAATTAAACACATGCAAGCATATATATTGAAATAAGATTTCCAAGCATTTGACTTCAAATTGGAATAAATAACTATCACAAAGAACACTGACATTCATTATTCTGTTAATTCATATGGGAGGAAAACTTGGATAACAATAGAACTCAATACTCTTTGGTTGATATTTTTAGACCGATGTAAAATCCTTGTTAAACAATTATTGTATGATATGAATAGTGAATGAATTGAAAAAATTATTTTTCATCCTTATTTAACGTGATGTTCACCGTTGTACATTAAGTAATATTGTCTGTCTATCTATCTTTCTACTTCACGTTATATGTACATAGGTTGTATTAAACTACTATTAAGTAGTGTGGATTTGTTAACGACATTTATATGCACTGTAAAATATTAACTTATTCCCAGTAAGTTCATTAAAACATGATAGTATTTTTTTTTTCATTTTATTTTGTGAATAGTAATTAGATTTTAAATTGTTTTTTTAACTCTTTAGCATTGAACTTCTTAAAACTGGATAAGTAATCAAAATCAAGGAATACATTTCTCACATTGACCATGATATCTTCAGACCATTAAGTTGAATTCTAACGATCCACGTTTCCATCTAGAATCTATTCGTGTTATGCTACTACGACTAATCCTTACTGTTGATGCTCACTTTCCCACTCCTCAAAATATTTGAACTTCACTATTCATGAAACCTTATTCAAATATCAATTAGATGCTTTATCCTAATATCCAGTTATATTTATAAAGATAAAATTAGTCAAGATAATTTATAAGTCATCGATCATATCAATGTGCATTACACAACTAATAAAAACTTTATATATAGATAATCACATTTATATTTCAGTAAATAAAGCAGTCTATTGCAAAATATCATTATAAATAAATCATTTCAAGTTGTTTTACGATGAGGGATTTAAAGAAAATTATAAAATGAAATCAAATTCACAAGTTATTGATTTATACTTTTCTTATGGAACCAAACCGTTTGACTGCATAGACGATTTTCAAGGAAATATCTGCTAGGGCTTTGTGACCAAAGTTAAGATGTTCTAGCATAAAACTACTGATTGTTTTACAAATACTCATACAAAGCCATTCACAACAATGTTCGTAGATGCATTCGTTACAGACTCTAATATTCTAATCAATTGAGAACCTAATTTTAAGAAATAATTAAAATTTAAAAAATATGAGAGAGTGACATGTATAGCTAACTATAAATAAATTAAGTGTATTCAATGCCTCACTGAATAAGGATTATTACAAGTAGAACAATATTTCAGCTGCCTTGTATCTGATTCCAGTTAGATCGTATGTTGATTGTCATCGTAATATACATCCCTGCTGTTCTCGTCTATAATCATCGACTTAACTCGCGTTAGTGAATAACGGAAATAATTAAGTCAAATACGAGAATAAATTTCGAACACGTATATTTCACTCAATCGTTGATCTCGACAGACAATTCGGGGAACAAAGTAAAGGTAGTGGAGAGGAGAGAGCAAAACAAAACGAAATGACGCACAATGGAGATGGCGGGTGGTCAACTCTTTTATTCAAGCGTAACTCAATATCTGTAGTCTAACAAAAATAAGTTGCAGACACATGACGAATAAAGTAAGTAATTAACAGACATAGGATCATATAAAAAACAGTCAGAATTAATAACCGAATAAGCGATAGGGTAAAAATGTGACTTGAGAAGAATGAGTAGATCGGTCTGTACAGAGGCTAGAATAACCTATGTGGGCTTAACATAATACCAACCCCCCTACAAGACTACCACATGTATTAAATCGTGTAGTAACACCGTATTCTAATTTCTTTAATGTTATCTGACTAAATTTAGGTTGAATTTTTATTCCTAAATAAATTTAGTACAGAACTCAACTGATGATAACTTCCACTTTACACCTATTTCATGAAATACAGTGTTTGTTTACACTTAGAAACACTGGAATATTGAATAAAGACCAAGTTGGATTGGATGCACAGTTATCATGAGTCATTATTTTTACCATTATTATAGATTTGTTTCAATATACTGTTTTTTCGTTAAATATTTACATGTGTTGTTATGGTAACATGATAACTCCCTTCATGCGTTTTTTTCTCTCCCTCTAAGTTGATCTATTCACTAAGATATTTTATTATTTGAGTAATATAAAGAACAATCGGGTTGGTTGATACAAATACCCTTATCATTTAATAAATAATTCAAATTTCTTTTCCTTTTATGGGAAAAAAGTAATTAGTGTTTAATCAATAGATGGAATTAACTAGTTCACTGAACAATTGCACATATTATAGTCTTTGTTCAAAAAGAGAATTGAAATTTTGTAACCAACATAAATTATCCCATGTAGAACTTCAGTTAATTAATTAATTAATCTGTTGTTTTTATTATTAGTTGTTTATTGAATATTTTAACATTCAACCATAAATGACACTATTATTATTGTTAAGTATTTATAAGTGGATTGTAAGAACCTCTGGCTATGAATTTAATGATAGTGAATATGAATCAATGTGTTCTGTTTACAATTTCAATGTAAATCCTATGTAATTTAAGAATTCAATTGATTTGATTCTAGTGTTCTAAAGTGAATGATACAATCAATGAATTACGTAACATCATACTGATCTCTTCCAATGTATGATATCTCTGCTGTACTGATTGAATTTATTGAATAAAATAAATAGAATGTGATGAGTTAGCTGAATATCATGATAAAAATCTTTATCGTATTGTTCAATTTGTATCATGGAATTGCTAGAATCAGCATTACTTACAAGTAATTTCTTTCTTTTATTTTACTGAATGTTATATGCAGTTAAGTATCTAAACTGTTAGCAAATTACACTGTTCATTTTAAGAGTTTAAGATAAAACTGGGATTTTATTTGGTGTCTTTAGAAGCGTAACAGTAGACTGCAGTGATATAATACAAAATAATTAAATTGTTCATAACTTTTTATTTGTTTGCAACGACACAGATGATGAGAACGGGTAGTACCGAAATTCTCAAATGGTTGCCAGGTGTAATTTACGATAATAAATAATTTGAATTGATGTGGTGGAACGTATTCATCTTTGTGCTCAGAAAAAATGTTCTTTTTTATATTATCCTTTGTGTCTGCAATGTTATAACTTCATAATTTGACTATGAGTTGTCTTTGGTTTGATGTCACTTATAATCAAACATGTGGACTTGAAAGTAATTCAAGAATGGAACGAATCAGTTATCCAGTGATCAGTAGCTTCTTTTATTTCCCTAGTTCGTATTGTGTGCTCCATTAACTACATGTTATAATACTACTTGTAAGTAATAAAATAATGATTTCCACAATAGGTCTCACTACTAAATCTACAAATTTATTTCTAATTTTTTTCTACCTCCACTAATTTTCCCTATTTTTCTTTGCATTGTTTAGTCTTTTTCCTACAAAAACCTTAATATTTCTTTTAAAGTCCTGAACCATTATTTCACTTAATTTTATGCATCAGAATTCGTGTTATTTGCGATATATTACTTATTGAAAATAAGTACAACAGATTCTATTGGTTAAATCAAGATATTCTAATATGATCTTTGTTAGTTTGTAACCCAATTAATTACGTTATAATCAGCATAATATCTAACACTAATCAGTAGAAACTAAAGTTAGCACTTCCTACCAGTATTGTAAGAGAGGAAATTCGTGTGATAATCGAAATTGTAGTGATAATTTTCCATGTAAAATCAAATCAAAAACTGTAAGTAGTATGGATTAAAAAAATGAATGTCTGAATATAAGTCATAAATCCATCAAAAATCTTATCGAAAACGTAGCACCTTTGGACATGACTAAACTCAATAGCTGATAGCCTTATGATTCCACCGAATCTAATCTATCCATTACATATAGTCAGTAATGTTCAAGAATGTCCTTATGTAGGACTGCAGTAAACATCCATAACCCCCTCAGTGATTAAACTTTAAACCTTCGGTCT